TATTATTATTATTGAATATAATATGAGAGAACAGCGCCCCCTGTGTGTTAAGTACTGAAGAAGAAGACGACTGCTTCCCTCTTTAAGAAATCAGGACCAGTCGTTGACTCTTGACCCCATTGTGTTCTCATTATTAAAGAGATCGCTGCGAGCCTTTAAAGTGTCGCACCGCGCCGGTTCTCCTCCGACAGTTGGCTTTCAAACTAAACTATTTTGTCATTTTAATCAAAAGAAATGTTTTAAGGCAAATTAGTAATCAAAACACCTCATCTGCCTTTATATAATCTCACCGTTTTTAATGAAGTATTTATGTATTATATTGTGCTGTATTGTTTTCATAGTTAACGTGAACAGCTTCGTAGCTAACTCTAATGTTGGTTAATGTGAATCGTCTCTGGTAAACAAATGAATACATAAATGATGACTGTAAGACTGTCTGTAAATGTTTGCTGCTCGCAGGAAAACACGTAAATAATCTAACATCTTCGTTAGGCCTCACTGACGCATGCAGTCGATGTTTAGTGGCCAAAAAAAATCAGTTAATGCAGATTTAAAAGAGATTTTATCATACAGCTAAACTCAGTAAATGAATGTCATTTTATAGAAATTTCTCCCAAATTCAACTTTTTTATCTTCAGGACGCCACAAAAATATAAAGTTCTGTAATTAAGAGCAAAGATAGAGACAAACAACAACAACAACAACAACAACAGGAGTAATAATGGAGACGCTGGTTAAACTTTCTGTATGAACTTTTTAATAAAACACATTCTGAACAGACACACACACCCACACACACAGACACACACACTCATACACAGACACAAACACACACACACACACAGACACACACACACAGACACTCATACACAGACACAAACACACTCACACACACTCACACACTCACACGCACACACACACACACAGGCGGATGACCTACTGAGGTGTTTGAGCTGAGGTTGAGGCCGGGGGCGGGGCAGGAGGAGGAGGACGAGAGAGGAAGAGGAGTAGGAGGATGATGATGATGGTTTACCTCGTCCGTCTCGGCGCTGCGACGCGTCGACCACACGAACTCCATGATGGCCACGAAGACGGCGATGATGAGGCCGCAGATCAGGACCACGAAAATCCCGCCGATGTTCTCCATCCCGAGACCTGAAACACACCGACGCCATAAAATATACAATGAGATATTTTTATTAATACTATAAAATATATTGATTAATACTATAAAATATATTGATTAATACTATAAAATATATTTTTGAATACTGTAAAATATATTGATTTAATACAGAATAATAATAAAATACATTTAATTATGTTGTTTTATTTTGTTCGGACGTTAGCATACTGACAGTTAACCGTTAGCATACATTGGCTACCAGTTGGTGCATGTTGCTAGCTAACGTTTGTACAGTCAATAAATTAGCTGGTTAACTTCAACAAGCAGCCGCTGATTAATGCTAATTATGCTAAAAGTCCAACAAGGTCCATGCTAACATTTTGAAACGATAATGTTATAGAAAACTTGAACCAACTCTCTAATAAAACAAACTGGACTTTAGCTCCTAATTAGTACAACAACCACATCACTTCTCTCATTATAGGCACTCATTCTTCAGACAAAGGACTCAAACGCTTTTAATTTGAAGGATTTCCTTTTTTTCTATCTTTATAAGGACATGTGGGGCACAAAGGAAACACACACACACACACACAGACTACCGTATACTGTGCAGTCAGCAACAAAGAGACACTTGATTAGTCTTAATGGGTCTTAACAGGATCTTAACGGCTTCACACACGCACACACACACACACACACACACAGACACACAGACACACACATCATTTTGCTCTGGGAACAAAGAAAGCTGCTCGAACAGATGACAGAGAGCAGCTGATCAATACTCAGACAGGACTCAAATTCCCATAATGATCGGCTCGTAAAAACCCGATGTGAGCGAGGACGTCGATGAGCAGAAGCCGTCTCGTCTCGTTACAGTGAGACACATCAGGACCAAAACAAAGAAACACATGTACGTGGATCAATAATGGAAACGAAGGATAAATTCAGACGTCATAGTCGATGCAGACAGAAGACAGACGGAGACAATGGATGATAAAACGGTGGCGGTTCTGTTGCATCAGGGGAGGATGTTTTTATGTTTTACACCTTATGAAATATAAAGCGAGACAGAGACGAGCTGACGACTCATTAGGAGGAAAATCTGTTGATTGGTTTTCAGCTGACGGCTCTCAGGATGTCGGTCAGTCGACCTTTGATTCCGATTAAAAGCTCTTTCTTGGTTCAGAGTTAAATATCTATACCTGCTAAACTAATTATAAAACTACAATTCCCATCAGCCCCCAGCTGTACTTTGTGTTTCATGCTGCTTAGTTAAGATGCTGAACATGATTTAAATTACACCCGCTCAACATCAGCATGTTAGCGTTCTTATTGTGAGCAGATCCACAACGCGGTCCCTCCAGGATTTCACAGATTGTTGTGGTCTAAAATGTTTGACTTCATGGCTGCTTTTCTAAAAACAAATAAATGAACGAATTTCATGTTGTGATGTTTTTAAGCATATTTTTGCAAAGAAATTGCATGAAAATTGCAAAAATAGACATAGTTTAGTGATTCACAAGAACTGGTTGAATCTGCATTAATTGTTGGGATCACGACTTCCTGGACAGGATTCCCACTCTTTAAGAAATAGTTTTCCAGGAGTCATACAGGACAGCACTCGTTCACCGGTGGTCATTGTTTATGAGACAGTCCGTGTTAGCTCACATTCCTCGGTTGTTTTCCTCTAATATAAGATGGCATGGCAACACATTTCCAGAACAACGTAAAACTTTACCAGGATAGTTGTTCAATTAATTTCCAGGTGTTTCCATGATTGGAAGACTTATCAGGAATGCCTACGTACTGTAACAAGGAGAAACTTTGACATCAGCAAGCTTTATTTTGAAAGTCTAACCAGACGTTGTATATCTATTATTGCTAATTTGACCGCAGAAAATGTGACACGTTGGCCCGGCTTTGAGGTGATACCGGGTTGCTGCCCGCAGGCTCAGCTCTACTGTCCGTCTGTTCAGTATGAAGGCCGTGCTCTCACCAACCTTTGGCTCGGTGGTCCTCCTCTTTGGGACACTGTCCTCCCTCCCACCAGCGTCTCTTCAGGATCTCCAGCCTGTTGCTCTCCTGCAGCTGTAAGATCCCCAGAGTGATCTCGTCTCTGTATGGAGAGCCTGCGGAGGAAGAGCAGCTGTCAGTGACCTTCTTACAGGCCAGCGTACGGTCGATATCACGACATCGACCTCACTCGTTCTCGCTAGTGGAAGTGAACTGTGAACCAACAACAATGGAAACTATGATCCAGTGTTGCCTTTTAGCTCATGTTCACACTGACCTACTAACAGCTGTAAGAAAACAAGGTTTTATGGACCCCGGACACACAAAAGCACCTTTACCCCTCTGATAGGAGCAACACTCTGTCTCTTTATTGTTGTTATGTCTCTCTCAAAGTTTTGTGTCTCTCTGTAGTCAGTTTGTGTTTCTTTCTGTAATATTACTATTTAATAGTAGTCTAGTGTTTGAATTCATGTTAAAATCACGTATCTGCTATCATAAAATCCTGTGGTTGGTCTATTTGTATGAATCACACCAGAGTCTGCTGGTCAGCGGACTGAAACTCTCCTTTTCAAGTGGTCTTGGTCCGGTTCAATGCCTCCAGGTTTCGATCCATAAAAAAACTAACCTACTCTTAAATTCTGCTGTTGGTCGTAAACTGTTAGGAAAGCAATCTCATGAGTGACATTCATATTTATACAATATTTGGTAACCACGGTAACACGTCTGGAGGTCAGATTTTTAGATTTGTAATAAACCAAAGGATCTTTCGAACCCCTGCAGCTCTGTAGACCGCATTAAAAATAAAGACGCTGTCCAGCACATTCGGCGTTTGTGTTCAGCGGTTTTATGGACGGATAAAGTAAATAAAACCCACAGTTCACCTGCTCACCTCGTCTTTGTTAAACATGTGTTGAACAGGCACAGCGAGGGCTTTACTGCTGTGGCTCTGTGGCTTTTTATATTGACGTTTTCCTTCCAGGGAGCACATGTGCTGATAAAATGAGAAATGTTAAGAGAGCAGAGAAGAGACGAAGCGGCAGCCGCATCTTTCATACAAATCAAACAAATCTGAATCTCATTTTACACCTGAGGTCTGAGCTTCTGCTGTGTTTAAAGCTAAATATAGACCTCTGTGACTGGGAACATTGGTTTTCGTGACTGGCTATGAATTTGAAATTTGTTTAGCAGCAGCAGCATCACCTCAGCCACCGGCCGAGTCTCCTGGAGATTAAGTTCAGTTTAACAGCTTATATATTTTGTGGGCGTGGTGCCGTCAAACCAGGAAGTAGCAGTGAAATCATCTTTCTATCAACGGTAAAATGGTAGATTCACCTCTTGGTGAAATGCAGACTTAAGGACACAAGTACAGGGAAGGACACAGACTGAGAAAGGCACACTGACAGCGGTTGCTCGGGAGCTAACTGCTAACACATGCTAGTGCTAACCTTTTTTCTTTTGTTCTCAGGATTTCATTCAATAAAGAGTTATTGGAGAGGAGAAAATGAGGTTGATAACTTACACGGAACAATACGTTTACAGAGCCTGATGTTGGTATTAAAGAGTTTAAAGGAGCTGATAAAGACATATCGGCCAATAATCTTTATTAGTCAGCCACCAGGGGGCGATAGAGATATTTTGGCTTCACTTTTGGAGAGCGGCCACATCGTCTATCTTTATACATGTCGACCCAAGTGGAGAAATCAGCACTTTAATGCTTCTGATCTGTATTTCATAAAGAAATAAAAGTCGCAGGATTTTAAACTCGACCACAAAATAAGAAATAATTCCAAATATATCAACGTCAGGACCGACCTGTACAGGGACTCAGATTTAAGTTTCATGTCCTGTGAGTTATTGACAGTGTTACAGAGAGAGATGATTCAGCTCTATGTTAATATTTGACTCTATATTATATCATATTAATACCTGTCATTAACATTCTGCTCACTGCGGCTGTAAATTATGAAGCTTTCGTCCTCACTTCCTCTCTGCCGCTCTCGCACATTCATCTTCTTTCTTATTCCATTAAAAAGTGACAGTGACTTTCACAGAATGACAGACAGCAGGAAGTGTCTGGGTGTTTTTCAAGGTAAAAGATAAGTCTTTGACAAAATGATGACACTTTCACTGGTTAGATGCTCCATATTTTAGAGATACAGAGTGATTCATTCGTCACCTCCTGACTCTCTTTTCTTTTCTTGCTTAACAGAATTGATAAATGCCTTTGTGTGGAAACTCTTCCCCTGAAAGAGAAACACCCCCTTTGGGCAAATTTCCAAAAAGAACGATCAACTTCAGTTAAAAAATAATCATCCTTTTCTGATTCTACCAACAACAGAGACTCTTTTGGTTTGTTTCTTTCTGCATGCCAACGGATCCATCTCTTCGGCTTTGTCTCTTGGATTTTAGTCAATTAATTTTGTGAAAATACCTTTTGCAAGATACTTTTAAGTGACATTTACAAAGCTGTACCTTTATATCGTAGTATTCACTTACTAACATGAGCTGAATACTTCTTCCACCCTGCAGTCATCTGTGAGTTAAATCAATCTCATCGTGGCTCCTAACTGTCCAACATTTTCTTGTTGACGGTTTAATAATGTGCCTGTGTGTTGTCTCCTTGTGTCTCTTTGTATCTCTTTCTCTAATATTTGGGAGGATGTGGCTTTTTATTGGGGAACTGCTGAAGTACACAGACTAGGACACAAGCTCTAGTTTTTCTTTTTCCAAGAACTGAGACTCTTCTCTTGTCTTGTTTCTTTTCCACGTAACACTTTTCTTTCTGTTCTCTTCATGAAATTACCCTTTGCAAGATACTTTTAAGTGACATTTTGTGTCTTTATATCACCTTTTTGCCACTTTTTCTCACTAACATGATGTAAATACTTCTGGTCATCTGTGTTTGTGTTGATCTCATCGTCTCTCTGACTGACTCGTAACAGCCGTACGGTTTCTCTTGTTGACAGTTTAATAATGTGGCTCTGTGTGTTAGCTTCATATTTGTAGCTGTGTGTGTCTGACTGTCTGTTTTAACCTCCTCCTGAAGCCAGCTGGTTACAGAAGGACAGCCAAAGAGTTTTGACCTTCAGTCAGGCCTGCTGCAGTATTACAGCGCTGCCTCAAAGTCTAAAGCCTCTTATGCATCAATAGCCGTGTTTCTACCTGACATTAACATGCGTCTTGGTGAGCCGATTACAAGTGGACAGTTTTAAGTACATAAAACAGGCACTGGAAGGAGTCTCGAGAGACCACTTATGATTAGTTGCCCGCTTTATATGCAAATAAACACTTTCAATTACAGGGAGTTTGTCAGTCGAAAGGTCCGTTATTACTGTCCAGGCAATAAGTTGTTTGAATTTACAAACGCCCAAATACTGAATTTCCCGTAGGTCTGAATGATCCTCCAGTAAACTCTGAAGAATTTTGACATTCAGTTTAAATGATTTGGAAAAAAAGGAAAATTAAATCACTATAAGCCTGTTGAGGTTTGGTTGGGTAAAAGAACAACGGTCACTTTCAATGTCTGTCGGAAACTTTCAACTCTCAGAACACGGACGCCAAAAATGACCTCAGGTTAAAATCAGCTGCAAGTTCTCATTTCCTCGCTGATGCTAATCGCTCACTGTCAGTCGGCGCCGTTAGCATGGGAGACGACGTCCTACCTGGGGCGCCAGGCTGATTCTGCTGCTTTTATTTTCATCACTTAACAGGAAGGTTGACTGACAGGCCGCTCTCCCAAAAAGCCCTCACCTTTTCTTTTTTCGCCTCCATCTTCCTGCTGTTCCCTCTCCTCTCTCCACATCTGTTCCTCCTTCCTCCATTAACTATGCTAATCTATGCACTAACACTTATCACCAGAAACAAGTCTGAGGCAGATGACGAGGCGAGGCCAGACACCGGTGAAAGCGGACCAAAGCCAAATTGGAATCAGGATGGATTTAATTTGCCAAGAACAGCAGCTGCATGAAGAATATGACCCGGTTAAAACAGAACCGACACACGAGGTGCCGGACGAACCGTAACGCAGCCGCAATACATAACCAACAATATGTGATGTGACAGCACACTCAACTCAATTACACATAAACAAAGTTGGAAGCACAAAGGCAACATTCATCTGGTGGAAATACTAGCAATTGTTGGCCATTTATAGCCAAAGTTTATCTCTGATTTTAAACAGTTCAGGAGTTTACAAAATTCAAAGGAAAAGTTCAGAATTTTTGAGAATTAGGTAACCAAGTTCGTTACCCAACGCCAGCTAAAGAATCCATGTTGTGGTCAATCGTAACCTGGCTCCTGCTCCACTCACCCAGAGGCATGCCGATGCCGTATCCTTTGGTGTCTAGCAGTCCTCCGATCTGCGTGAGGTTGCAGTTGAGGCTGCGGTAGTACTCGTTCATGGTGCTCTCCATCAGGAAGGCGTACTTGGAGTTGAGGACTCGCGCAATGCCTTCCTCGGTACTCTTCACAAACACGCTGGGCTGCTTGGAGTACATATAGTTCCACATCCGCTGGTACGTCTGGTACCGCGAGTTCTGGAGGAAGAGAGAGAGGGTGGAGGTTTGGATGGTTGCATCTCTTTCACAGATGTGGAAGAGAAGATTAGCTGCACCCAAAATAAACACATAAATAAAATCTACTTAAAATCTTCCTCACCATGAAGAAGGTCATGGTGGATCCTCCGTGTATGGTCCCGTACTGGATGTTGGTTTGGTCGGCCAGGTCGTCCGGAGACTCGATGGGAACCTCCATCCTCTGGACGGTGAGAAACGCTGCCAGGTTGGCCGTGTAGGACGAGATGATGATGAGGGTGAACGCCCACCTGAGAGGAGCAGAGAAGAAGAACAGCTTTAACCTTTATTTACCCTGAGAAACTTTCAAGCCCTCGCTCCTTTTTTCTTCCCTCCTTGCTTTTGATTAAGAGCTGCGAGAGAGAAGCAGGAGAGAGAGACAGATGGAGAGCACTGCAGGAAACGTCAGGAGTTTTAGGTAAAAATCATCAACCTAAACATGAACTCCGGCTGCAGCAGAGAGGAGCAGGACACCTCCACCGAGGAGGCAATGAGACGAAAGTGATGAGCAAGGGAATTAGGATGAGAGGACGGGTGGAGGCAAACAGAGAGGGTGGGATGGGAAGAAAATGATGGAAGCTGAGGAACGATTTAGTTTAAGATCTGGTGATAATCCTCACTTTTATATGATAGCCAATGTAAATACTTGTGATTGGCTGGAAGGTGCAAACCTATCAATCAGGTGTTTATTATAAGTTCTAAATTAAAGATCCAGTGTGAAATATTGAGGAGGAATATAATACTCATAGTTTGATTAGTGTCAATCACCTGAAAATAACAATCATTATGTTTTTGATTATTATCAACAATGAATACCAAAATCTGAAATATAACAGTCTCCTGTCATGTTAACTATCAGCAGAAGAAAAGGATATTAGTACTGTTGAGTTTTAATCCATACTTTATCGTATAAATACAAGAAACAGTCTGACATATGACAGACAGTTTCTGTGCAATTTACAGTCTGTAAAAATACTTATAAATGGCCGTGGTTTGCTATGAGATATAACAGTGACTTACTGATTGACAGTTTTTTTTTTTTTTTACAATGCATGATAAATGAACTTGGTCTTTAAAAGTTTGGATATCTTCAGTCCGACCAGTCAACAGCCAGTCAGACAGACACAAATGAGTACGTTGCAGTCTGTGCCACAGCCATCATGAGTTTTTATGGGGCTAAGTGCCTGGCGAGGCTGAGAGCTGTCAAAGAGAAGATGCTGATGGCTCCTCCAGTCCCTCCAGTATCACTCCACCATCTGTCTGACAGCAGCTACTGGGAGCGAGGGAGGATAGGGGAGGGAGGAGAGGACAAACTGGGAGAGTAATTGTAATTTCAGTCTCCACAACTAGCGGGAGGACAGAGGTTCAGTTTGAATATTCTTCTTGTTGAAGTGAATATTTGTCGCAGACGAGGTAATAAGAAACTCATCTCTGCAGTGTTTTAGTGGCGGCGGATTCTGCTTGAAAGTAAACACTTGAACTGATGGAAACTAACAGAGGAGAGCAGCCAATAAAAGATAAGAAAAAATAAGTCTGCAGTAAAATGCAGCCGCCAAAATAAAAGCAAAAAGGCTGAACAGTCAAACAAATTATCAACTAAAACACAGCGAAAAGGAAAAAACTGTTTCTGAGGAAGAACACTGAAATGTAGTAATTACAGGAGTGTGAAACTGTACAATTTAACATGTAGAATAACCAATAATAAATTAATATTTACTTTCACAGAAGGTCCTATTTTCACCATAATTTATACATGATTGTACTTTGAAGGAAATAAAGTAAAGTGTTACCAAAAACATCAAAAGTAATCCAACCAAAACCAAACATATCTGAACTGCTGCACGCATTGACACAGCTGACATTAGAAGTTATTATTTTTTTTTTTTTTACAGTTTTCGTTGTTATTTTACCACTAAATTCACATTAAATATAGAGACAGGGTTAGGGGCAGAGAAGCACCAGTGGGGGGCGCTAGCGAGCCAGCTTGGAGGGGCTTCTCGGCAGTCCGCTCACAGACCACTACTATTCTATTGTACATATTTATTCTGTTTAGTTGAGCACTGCTTTAGGTCAACTTTATAAAATAACTTACAACCTTCTCCTCCTGCTTTTATCACTTCAGTCGACCTTTCATAACACATCATACTTTTGGAGCTGATATTGGAGGTAGAGTTGCACATGCTCAGTACCGGTATAAGCCAATCATAATGTGCATTTATAAACCCTAAGCTATAGGACCCTGAGCCCACCTAGCAGGCCGAGCACATCCACTCCTTCATCGGCCTTCTGCACGTCCGATACGCAACGTAACGTACAACCTTTTTTCCTCAGGAAGCAGATTTTGTGCCTAAACCAAACTGCGACCGTTTCACGACATCAAGTCTAACTGGACGTTATTACGTTAACCTCCAGCATCATATTGGGAAAGCGCTGACCAAGCTGCAGCATTTGGTGAGCTGAGTGTGAGAACATGTTGGTTGGACAGAAGACATGAGAGAAGGAGAGAGAACACAAAAAAGGAAGAGGAACTAACTTCATCAGTTTACCATCTGTTCACCTTCAGCTAATGTTCCTGAGGAGGGACGGAGAGGAGCTGGATACTACATACGTATATATACATGATTTTAATTTGAAGGGAAGCAGCTGCGACACGCATCGTTCACAGTAACAACTTAAGTTAAATCAGGAAAAGAGATGATGAAGCACAGAGGCATCAACATGCTGTTAAAAGCAGGTTGAGACATAAAATGGGAAGAGATCAAACATTAAATATTCACAGGTTTCCTATAAAAGATGTTTTAAAAGAAGTTACAGATATAACCTGTTTGATCTCCACAGATTAAAGGATCATTAAAAATATATATTTTTGCTTTTTATTATTTACTGACATTAGGAACAAATCACATTTAGTTTGATTTCCTGAGTCTACAGAGAGAGATGACAGCGACAGAGAGCACCAACAAAACTTTATTAATGTTTGACTCTCAAGTAAAAAACCTCATCAGCTCATTTTCAGACTGAAGTTTTCTTTTCAGCCTCTGCAGGTCTCCTCCACATCTGTTTACCACGTCCCACTCAAACATCACAGCCACAGAACAGCTCAATAACAAATTAAAGTTATTGAGCTCATTTGCTTTTTCATTTTCAGAAGTGGTGGAAAGAGAAACAAGAAGGCACAAAATGGACTTTTAATTCCTGGTTTAGTTCCTAGAATATAAAAAGACACTTCCTGTATCGGACCCCTCCTTCTGGTACCTACCAGACCCCGCTGACGCAGCGGGTGGACAGGGCCCGGGGCATGATCTCTGAACCCTGCTGCATGAAGCCGCCCACTGGTACTGGTTCTCCAGACGTCTCGCCGCTCCCGCAGACACGGGTGGACACCGGGTTGTACACAACACGAAGGGCTGAGCCTGGGGGCAAAAGTAAAGCAGTAAGAAAAGTTAGAAGAGACGGCTCAGACAGAAAGCAGCGAATCCACCGAGATCTTCAGTACAGAATAAAACTGGTTTGAAGCGGAGGGAGTGAGAGCGGGTTGACCGGAGACACAAACATCAACCACCTCTTGACAAGATAAGGTGTCTCCATGCCGGCTTATGATTTGTTGTACGGTGTTGTTGTGTTTAGAGAAATTCTGGCTTGTTAAGATTTGTTGTGATAATTAACTGCTTTCCCACAGATCTTACAGATGGGACTTTCCTTCCTTCTTATAGAATCCAAATGTCTTCCAGACTTTAGATTTTAGCTTTGATGGTGCGCTGTAAACTGTGTCGGCATTGTCGGTTTCTACTAACGTTACTGTCGTTGCTGTTGTGGCGTTGACCCTGGCGTTGACCTGTTACCTTTCAGGAGAGTGGCGATGAATTCATAACTTTAGAATCAGACCATCGGCCAGTTCAACTGGTTATAGTACTTTACTTTGTGTAGAATTTTCAAAATAAAATACCATGTGCAGACTGGATTGAATTTCATGCTACATCAACAATGTGACACCAGACCAAGTCAATCAGGAGATTTGACACCACAGACGACGAGAAGTTCATCTTGGAATTGGAGAAACACCGTTTTGTGTATTTATTATACAAATCCACAGTAAACAGTGCAGCAGGCAAGACGCTCTTGTGGGATTTGAAGATGTGCAGATGATGGAGCGCTACACTCCAAATAACAAAACATTTATTGGTCAATTGACTACACTATTAGAGGACATACACAAAGTACTTTTATTCTCCCACGAAGTACGTCTTCTGAGATTTGAACAGAAAACGAGAGATGTTAAATGTGTTTGTCCTACCTGTCTCAGACAGCGCTGAGATAAATTCATATTTTTACACAAAAGGAAACAACATAATGACTGTGTTTAGTCGCTCGACTGGAGAGTAAAACAGTCATTTTAATGTTTGAACGACGAAGTTACAGGCAGAGAGAGAGATGGAAGAGAGACCTGCACTTACTAAGACTTAAATACAACAGAATGAACACAACAAAACACATTCATATTATTTTGTCTCAAAGAAAAACACTTAATGATCCTCTCCTGTTATTTATGGGTATGAACAGCTAGTGTTGAGTTCTGTGCTTTGGCCAGCGCTCACACACACACACACACACACACACACAGGCCGAGGCAGGTGTGTTACCTGGCGGCGAGGAAGAGGACGCAGCTGACAGCGAGGTAGGCCAACAGCATGAAGAGCCAGACAGCCGGAGAGAACGGATCCAGGAAGGAGAAGTAACCTGGTTTACGACCCTGAAACACACACATAAACAAAATCCGTCTGTTGGGTTTCTCTGAGACTGAACCGTTGCCAGTACCCCAAAATAAAAGGTTAAAAGGTTTCTCTGTGACATTAAATATTCATGAAACAAACATCCTGAGGTGTAACTGATTAAAGACTCAGCTGGTCTTCTTCATCCAGACCGTGTTGGATGTAGTCTGACTCACAGGAAGTAGGCTGCTGGTTTACGCCATTAGTTAGTCGGCGGCGACGCTAACAATGGGATGTCCTGTCCCCAAAAACGGATGTCCCGAGCAACGTCATACAGGCAGAGGCAGGTGTGTTACAGTGTTAACAAGCACACGACTTTCTTACGTCACCGCCCTACAGACCTTGGTTGGCATTCTCCTCCCCCTCCACCTGTGCACTTTCTTGTTGCTAACGTTACGAATGTAAACAAGCTAGCAGCTGTTTTCTTTTCTTTTGTGGGGTGTTTAATTTCTTTGTTTCTGTGATTATACAAATATATTAAATCATTTGCATGCAGACATTTGATGGATTGAATTATTGGAGTATCATTTATTGGACTGTAAAGCGCTGTGGACTGGTTGGCTGTTAGACTGCACCTTTAATACAGGTGTGTTTGAAAGACTAAATAAGCCAATAAATATGATTTTTGGAGATGATTACAACCATTTTCTTTCAATACATTCTTACCTTTTGAGTTATTGGAACTGTTTGGATCAGGCTGAAATAATCCTACGCAGTGACCACTGGAATCTAAAGCTTAAACTGCTCAATCTGAAGAATTATATAGACATTGATTTCCTCAGTTTGAAGTGTTTGAGCTGCTTCTAAAAGAAAAGGATGTTTGAAGCATCTGACGAAGCGCTGAAATTGAGTCAGAATTAAGTAAGTAGTTTGCAAGAACAAAATTTAAGATTAGCCATTTTAATACCAGAGAAAGTGCAAATGTTCCACCAAAACATAATCCTAACTGAAATTAATCTGCAAGAGCACCATCGCTGCTTCCTGAGCTTAAAACAAAATCAAAGCTGCAATGTAAAAAAAAAACTGCATGTTTACGGGGTTTTCCCTTTTTTTTTTTTACAGATTTTATTTTTATTTTTTATATAGATAAAATATTAATAAAATTACAAAACTAGCCATGTCTAATGGAAAATAACATGAAAAATCTTAACTGTAAATAATCATAAAATTTCTGCTTATTTAAAGAAAATGTCCTTTTTGCACATAAAAATACAATGTAAAATTGGTGATATTTACCAGTAATTTGTTTGTTAATTTTACAGATATCTTGGTGAACTCTGCTATAATACACATAAACAGGCTTACATTTACAGAAGAGTGCTGTTATTATTTGATTTTTAATCTGAATTTAAAAAGTTATAGAACTCTAATAAAAGTCATTGTCAGTGAAAATAACAGTAATTATTGCTGTTTTCACTGATAAAAACTGTATTTTGACAGTTTACCAATGCTTATACACTGATAAACAACATTTATTCAACGTTATTGTTGTGAAAACTTTCCGAATTGTCCTGTATTTATAGATCATTTCATTGATGTTAAAATGCCAAAAAAAATACACAAGATTTTATGTACAATTAAAGCTGAAAACTATTTTAATTATAGAACATTCCTGTATTTTAATGAGTCAGTTATTTTCAGTTATTTTACTGTATTTTTTGGTGTTCCAGCTGTAATATTACCTTTCTTTTTACAGTGTGAAGTTTAAAAGTGATGATGATCTTGCACACTGACGTACATTTCTCTAATCCTGTGTAATTGTTACTGGGGAGACGTCGAACCACGTGAACTTGGAAAAACATAAAGTTTAACACCAGTAGAAGTTCTAATGTCTCCAGCTGGCAGCAGTGAATTGTGATAATGACCATCTGCCGTTCACAGCGCTCTGAAAGTTGTCAACATCTCGGCCTCAGAAACACAACCCGCACTTTCTGATTGACAGCCGTGCATTTTGGAAATTGACATTCCTAGAATGTTTTTTCCTTGCTCAGCTTGTCACATTTTCTCAGCACGTAGACATGTGAGTCAAATAAAACAGCCAAAACAAGATAAAACCAGCAAATTGCAGTTACAAGCTTTTCAAGTGTTAACGACCATCAGTTCTTTTTCCCGGCGAGGTGCTTCCCATCGACCCATTTCATCACCTCCCCTCCCCTGCTGTTTATGATGCCCCCCTCCGTCTATTGGAAAAAGGTTTTGGCAGTGAAGGCGGTCGAGGAACTCCCAGATTGGACCCAATTAAAGCAGACGACTGGAGCTGTAATGGAGGCAATCAACTGTGTTTCTGCTTTTTGTCAATTTTGGCTCATTTAAAACACACCATGTGAAACCAGGCCAAAGGCTTGAATCTGATCAGACTGCTTTGTACCACAGAATCAGACGAGATATCTAGCGTAGACACGTGAATCAAAAGAAAAGCAGGCAGGTGACAGGAGGTACATCCAATTAATCTGCATCACTCCCATGTTTGTCACATCTTCCAGTGTGGTGTTAAAGCTGCTTCAAGACATATTTGTGACAATAAAACTGAATCAGAAACAACTCTGTAATGTTAGATCCTAAAAATGACAAAATATGCTAATAAAAATAATAAAATCTACAAAACAACTTCATTCAGATTACAGCCTTATGATTCTGAAGTTAATGAGTCGCTGTTATTAGTTTTGCTGTTATTTTCAATCATGTTTAATTCTAATTTCTACATCAATTCTAAGCAATAAGCAGTTTTCTATCACAACCAGTCTTAAGTGACATATTTTATGTATATTTCATATTATATAGAACAATAACAACAACAGTAGAGAACAGCTGATCAACAATAAACCTAAACAGTGAACACAGTGACTGCAGAAAACTTGTGGAAAACCAGAGATTTGGATGAATTCTGAGCAGATTATTTCCTGTGAATATTAATCAGAAATGAGTTTTCTCTGTCTATGTTATGTATTTTTTATTTTTA